GGAGATGGACTCATATTGTTAGATTAACACAAACAGGTTATTAAATGTCAGGCTTCATCATAAGCATTTCAGTTAGAATTCATTCTGTGGGGCTTTTATTTTAAAATGGGGTGTGTGTGTGTATGGGGGGGGGGGTCCTCTAAAGATCTCTAAGAACCTGAATGACTGTATGAGAGAGACACAGAGAGAGAGAGAGACATACAGAGATAGAGGGAGAGAGACAGAGAGAGAGACACAGAGAGAGAGAGAGGAGTGCGTGTGTGTCTGTGAGTCTGTGTTTATCAACATCACTAATTAGCTTAATCAGAAACACCTGTGTCCTTGTAGCCTTTTAATGGAGATAAAACAGGGAAACACCTCTCAAACAAATCCTCAAAACTCCCATAACCGTAGCTCTTATTGCTCCAATATTAATAAATGAGAGGAAGGATGAGTTGAAGAACAGATCACAAGATATCAAAAAGCTGAATAATGCGGCAATAGATCAGGGTTTTCTAAACATTTTAAAGTTTAAATGGTGTCTGTAGCTGAAAGTATGACAAAGTAGAATGATTTGAAAGTTGAAGAGGATTTGAACATTTTCTCCATAGAAACCCATTCAAAAACAAATGTGCAAAAAGCTTAATAATTCAAAAAGTTTAAAGATTAGAAATATGAAAAGTTATAGCACACGTGTCCTTAATGAGCTGAACATTTTGATATTTGAACGGTTTCTGTAGCTTAAAAAATGTGGAAGGAGATAAGTAGCAAAAAACGTACGGAAGAAATAGTAGAGAGAAGTTGAAGAAGTTGAATAAAGAGAAACAGGATTCCAACAATAAAGATTAGGATAACAATAGTTGGAATGCTTAACAGAATTCCAACAACATCAACATCAATGGAGTTAATTAGTAATTACTAATAAGAACGGGGCACCACCCTGCGGACAGGGACCAATAACCGAACTATAAACTAAGTCTCATAATTAGTGTTCACTCACGATATTAACAGTCTGAATACTATTACATGTTACATATATTACAAGTTTGAGCACAGGCCACTACATCCAGTTATTATTACACACATATGCACAAGTAATCACAGAAGGCTGCTCTTTAAAATATAACAGAGTTTATTAAATCAAAATAATAAATGATCAAATCAAATAATATCAAAATCAATGTGTGTGTGTGTGTGTGTGTGTGTGTGTGTGTGTGTGTGTGTGTGTGTGTGTGTGTGTGTGGAAAAGG